CCATGTGCGCGGTGGCCCCCCAGCAGATAGGGACGTTGTCTTTATTGCGGGGCGCATGCGCCACGGATCGCGTCCGCTCCGGGCGTGTTAGTTCCTTGCCCGCTGGGTACGCCCTCTTGGGGGCTGTCCCCGCTGGGGCCCCGGTGCCCGCCTTGGGCCCCGCCTTCGGCTGGGGCCCAGCCCCCGCCTTGGGCCTGTCATCCCCCTGCGCCGTGGGCCGGGGATCGCCCATTTCCTCGCTCCCTCCCGCTTTGGGCGGTCGCTTCGTGAGGTGGGCGTTCAGCTGCCCATTGAGGAGGCGCGTGAGTGCGGCCTTGCGCCGGGGCACGACCACCTGCTGGTAGTAGGCGTTCGGGTCCCCGAGGTCGAACGTTCGGGGCAAATCGTAGCCGTTCTCCGGCATGAGTAGGATATACTTGATGTCCTCCCTCCTCGGGTTCTCGGTGTCGAGCTCTCGACAGAGTCGGCGCCTCAGCTCCCGCAATTCCTCGACCCAGGTGCTTCGGAGCTCTTCCCACAGATCCTTGACCCAATGGTCTGGGAACTCCGATGGGTCCCTCTCGAAGGCCGCCTCCAAGAACCCCAACGACCGCCGACGCTCCGCCCCGTGTGCGACCCCTATGATGGACTCGAACATCTGGATCTCGCACCGGGCCCTCTTGAACCAGGTCGCCATGTGGGTGGCGGGCCGTTGGCGGGGCTCCAGCTTGTCGTCCACAGGGAGCCGATAGCCATCGAAGTCCTCGTCACGCGCGGGGACGCAGTCGTCCACCGCCAGGTCGTGAGGGCCCGTCCCGAAGGCGAGCGCCGCGTAGCCGTGTGCCACACGGTTGGTAACCAGGCAGGGAAACCCGATCGTCTTGAGCGTGCTCTTGGAGTGCGCACACATGCGCTTGAGTGAGTCGAACAAGTCCTTCCCCGTGATACCCTCGCAGGCCTCAACCACGAAGGTGTTGCATCCCCGGGCTATGTAAAGATCGAGTTCCTCGTCCCGACCGATCCCTGCCCTGGTGCCCCGGGCCTTCTTGTCGCCCTCGGTGGCCCGCGCCTGCCGCTCGGCGGCGAGGACGTGGCGTTCAGTGAGGCGGTTCTGGCGATCCAGGCGCTCGATAATCTGGGCTTCGGCCTCGACTGTAAGCCCGCCCAGGGCGCCCGCCGCCCCGGCGTCGTCTGGACCCCCAGCTCGCTCCCCACCCAGGCCGCCCCCGTGGGGCGTCTGGCCAGTGAGGTGGCCAAGGACCGAGGCCCCGTCGAGGAGCGGATTGGCCCCACGGGCGGCCCCCCCGCGTCCATCGCGTGCCAGCAGGTCCCGATCACCCAGCAAGCCCCGTCGTGGGCCCGTGGGTTGGATGGGGGGCATGGCACCGAAGAGCTCGCGTCGGGGTCCCTGCTTCGGGCTGGGATCCCGTCCCCGCGCCGAGCGACTCCGCGAACCCTCACGTGAGAGGCTCCCCTGCAGGGGAACCTTGTCGGCGGCCGCAGCACGCTCCCGCGCGCGCGCTTCCAGCTGCGCATCCTCCAGATCCGCGAGGGCGCGCTCTAGGTCGGACCCCAGTGGGCCCGCCGCTGCCACCTGTGCGACCCTCCGCCGCAGCTGCCGCTCCGCCTGATCAAGCGGAACCCCGAGCAGGTCCGCGGCCATACCTAATGCACTGAGAGCCGCCGCTTGGCCCCCCCGTCCTTTGAGATCCTCGGCTCGCAAGGAGTCCGTGAACATTTCGAGCGGGTCGGGCTCCTCGGCGTCCTCGCTCACGCCGGCGGCGGCCGCCGCTAAGCGCGACAGTGCCGCCACGGGGGCGGGACGGGGCAAGCCCTCCATCCCGGGCGCAGGCGGCGCCCCCTGCGCGCCACCCCGCCGATGGTGGCCGAGTGTGCGCACAGGGTCGTGCTGCAGCTGCTGGCGCTCCGTGTTCGTCAGGTAGCGCCGCCTCCAGCCGCTCGCGCTTTCCACGTCCACACCGTCCCACTGCTCCTGGCGTAACATCGCCAGCAGATCCTGCGGGATGTGGTGGGCGATGACACGCAACCCCACTTCCCGAGCCCCTTGGGGGACCTCGTACAGCAGCCGATTGATCCAATCTATCGGGTAGCGCCCGTCCTCCAGCGGAGGGGGGTGCCGTACGACCTCGCTGGCTGGGACCTCCACCCTGACGCCCTCGAGGCTAGTCCCGATGATAAGTCTGGCGTCCCCGCCAGTGCCCCGTGCGTCGAGCCCCTCGCATTCTCCCAATAGAATAAACCAAGGACTCGCCGGGGGCGCGCCGTACGCCTCCTCGGCTCCCCGAGGGTCGCCCGGGAGTATCGGGCAGACCTTCACGAGTAGGGGCTCCTGAAGCCACCCGTGGTGGGCGATCCGATCGCCCGGGGCCCCGCGGTCGGCAGACCGTGAGCGTCCGCTGGCCCTAGCTTCCGCGGAGCGTGTGCGACGCGGCTGCGGCCCCGAGGTTAGGGCCTGCGCCCCCGTGGGCTCCACATCGACAGATGGGGCCACGGCGGGCGGTGGCGGTGCAGCGGGGGGAGGTAGAGGCGGGGGGTAGACCGGCTCGGGCGCAATGCCAACCCCATCGGCAGCGTGCGCGGTCCAATCGCGCACCCTGGCGGGGCTTGGAGCCCGCGCCCGCATGCGACGGCGCAGGCCCCCGAGGATCCCAGGTTGGACCGTCGCCTCGACGCGCACGGTGTGACCCTCGTCCCGTCGGAGATGTTCCCCGCACATCGGGGCCCCCCCGCAGCTACCCTTCGCCATGCGGAGACAAGTGGGGAGGCTGCACTTGCGGCCGATCAGGGTAGACCGATACTTCTGCGCATGGTGGGCGCAGAGGTGCACCTGTGCATTGAGACAATGCCCCGGCCGAGGAACGTCCGACACCTCCGCGTCCTCCTGTAGCAGGACAGCGGCCTCCTGCATCCCTCGGTCGCCGCACCCCTCCGGCTGGAGGGGGCGTGCGCCACCCGCGAGCTGCGCCCCAACTTGTGCGGCTTGGCAGGGGCGCTCCTCCGCCTCCACCTCGCTCTCCGAGTCGATGTCCAGGCGGCGATAGCCCGTGGCGTCGGTGATGTAGCGGGGCTCCGGCCGGCCCCGGCACAGCCATCCGAGTACCGACCAGGGTGAGCAAAGCAGCCACTTGACGACCCCGAATACCTTCCGGAGTCCCACGCCGACTGCCCGGCAGGCCGTGGCCCTTCCGTGCTCAGCCAAGTCCACGATCTGTGTGTGGTCAATGGCCGCGTACTGGTCGACGTGCATGGGATGCGCCACTGGACAGGAGGCGCACTCGACAGCACGACATAGATGCACATTCCCTGTCTCCTCGAGGTTCAGCCGCCACTTGCGACTGGTGCACCCCAGGACCTGCCCGATCTTGATGTTGAGCCCGTGGCGGTCCAATCGGTACCGGTCCGCGAAGTTGCAGCTGATGCGGGCCACCTGCCCGTGCTTACGCAGCAGCACGTGGTTGTACGCCCGATTGGTCCCTCGGCCGCGGACCCCCTTTGTGTAGAACTCTGTCTCCACCACGCCGCCCAAGCCCGGCCCGCGCCAGCGCACCAGCAAGGGGGTCGGAGGGGGTGGGGGAAGATGGGCGCCAGGCCCATCCCCCCCGCGTCGCTGGCAGCACCGGGTAATCTGGTACCACGCCCAGCGGAGTCCCCCGGCAGCCCACAGCATAGGCTGGGCTGCGGTGTTGACGATGAAGGCCAGGGCACCCAACACGAACGTGAAGATGCCTAGGGCAAAGCATAAGACCGCGGTCTCCCACCAATACCCAAGCATCTTGACGCCCAGGCGGTCGACGGCGGATCCAAACCATCCGCCACTCGTGCGGATCGTGCCCGGGTGGTCGGGGGAGCTTACCCACGCTCCATAGCCCACGACCTCGAAGACCCAGGCTGCGAAGCCCCAACCGGGACCCGGCCCTGCCTCCGGGGGTGGTGTAGGTGGCGGCGGCGGCGGTGGGGGTTCGCTCCGGCCAGCCCACCAATGGGGCAGGTGCGGGACCCAACCACTCCACCCCCAATACCCGTCCGGCCCACGCGGCAGGTCAGGCTCACCATCGCCCGTCCGGTTTCCCGGGGCGGACGGCTGCCCAGGCGCGCCCGTGGGCTCGTTGTTACCTCCGTATGCCGGCGTAGCTGGGCTGCCTGTGGGCTCGCCCTCGCCTACGCGCCCGATGCCCGCGGTCGTGGTCGTTGTAGTCGACCCTGACCGCGGCGGCGGTGGGACGCCCGGCGTCCCCGGGGGCTTGGCCTGCGGCCCTCGCCCCTTTCCCCCTGCAGGCGCGGGCTTGGCGGGCGGTCCTCGCCCCTTGCCTCGCCCCCCACCGCCTGCCGGCGGCGCTGTCGGCCCGGGCAGGGCTGGCGGCGTCGGCGCTGGGACCTCATGTCCCCCGCGCCCGAATGGCAGCCAGCCAAGTGCCCCTTGGACCGTAAGAGCGCCGCCCGCAACCAAGATCATCAGGTGCGCCCCCAGGAAGCCCACAGCCATGGCACCACAGGCGCGCTACCTAGTCCGCGGACTAGCACGGCTGTGGTTATGGCCGCCCCGCGGCCCCCTGGAACACCCGCGCGTCGGCCAGAGCCGAACGCTACGGACCCAAAATGGCTACCTGAGCCCACACCCCCTCCCACTTAACCTGCAGTCTACAACCAATCAGACTATACAAAAATCCCTTTGGGGCCCGTCGAGGTCCGCCCGCGTGCCGTGGGGCTCCTGGATGCACGCGATGGAGTGGGGAGAGAGGAGACTAGACAACTGACTGTACTTCTTCTGACTGCTACGGCGATCACTCCATTGAGACATGAACAATGATTGGGCATTCCAAGAGACAATACTAAGAGCCGAGGAGGAGGAGGGGAGGCAGAAGGCAGCTGCTGAGCTGCCAGGCGAAGGCAAAAAGGGCGCAGAGACAATTGAAGGGAAAGCGGCCTGGACCCCAATCACAGGCGGCAGCACGGAGGGGCTCACATCATCTCGGGAGGCTCGCTGGGGAGCGCCCTAGCGCCGGGTGGCGCCGAGCTGGTTGGTGGCGTCGTCGACGATGGCGTCGACCTGAGACGCCTCAATGCCCCACTCCTTCAGCTCATCGTAATGCGGGAGGAACTGCTCTACGCCCATGCCGCCGTGGGAGCGCGAAACGAGAGGCCAGACCTCGGTCTCATCAAGCGCCATCATCTGGCCCTTGAAGCCGTTGACTGCGAGCTTGGACTTGCCGCCCCACAGCGGCGAGCGGACCAGCAGGTCTTTCAGGGGCTGGTATATCTTTGAGAAGTTCTGCTGCCGAAGACGAACGGGAAGCGGGAGGTCACCTCGGCATCGAAGCGGTGTGATACCTCCATTCTTTGGGTCACGCCAGGCCATCTTACTCTCGTTGGCTGCGTGCATGAACTGAATGGCTGTGGCCTCCGGCGGGGACTGGATTTCATAGCTCTGAGAGACACCTTTGAACGTCGCTTCGACATCTCGCAGGAGAACGGGAAACCTCTACCTCAGCTGGTCGTACTGTAGCTCGCGAGCCTTTGCCAAAACAGGACGAGGCCATGTGCCTATGTACTTCTTCTTGGGGTTGCTGGGGCATCTGGAGGCGCGCCGATTGGACCACCTCTATGGCCAGGAGGATGCTCACTCCCAGCGTGACTTGGAGCGGTCGAGGCAGCCGACGAGGAAGCACCTAGCTTCAGGTGGTCGATCTGCTTTTGCTGCTCGGTGAACTGGTGCTGTATACTTTCTGCCGTGTGGTCAAGGCGAGAGGATAAATTAATGATGGGCTCCTCGTGATGACCAAGCTTGTCCCACGACTTGTTCTGTCCAGCTTGGAACTCCCCGACTATTGCAGTTGAGAAGGCCTCCATCATGGACTCCATCTTCTTCAGCATGGCTGACTGGGACGAAGGCTCGGAACTTCGGCTCCGACGCTCGCTTGATGTAGATCTGGACCCGCCACGGCGGGAGTGTCTGGCTCCGACTGGCATGTGTCTCGGACTGCCAGACGATTCACGTTGGGCACGGCGGCGACCCATTGCGGCCGATGTACACTGAACTGCAGGACAAGGTACCGTACGCAAAATGCGTGTGTGGTCGGGGGAAAATGAATGCGGAGGACCCCTGTCCATTGGGGCGCTCTCCAGGGCCTCACTCGCGCGCGGCGGGCAAGGCCACTCGAGACGGAGGGTAAGTTCCCGCAAATGGCCTTGAGCCAAAATGGCTTGAGCCAAAATGGCTACGGAGAAGGAGGAGGAGGAGGAGGAGGAGGAGGAGGACGAGGAGGAGGAGGAGGAGGAGGAGGAGGAGGACCCCATACCCCTTCAACTTAAGGTGGTGGTAGTGAAAAACAGGCCCATCACTGCCGCCCCCGCGAAGCGGCGGGGCCCCGCCTCTGGGTCCAGTGGCTCCGTCTCCTCGCCCTCGCCTGCAAGGCCGGCAGCGGCAACGGGCACCGGCCGCTGGGCGACCACGCCGGCGGCGGCGGGGGGGTCCCGGGTCACCGCTGCGAGGCGGAGGTCTGCCCATAACCGCCACGTGGGCGATCCATTTTGGGGGATGCCAGCGGGCGGCAGGTATGGACAGACTTGGCCCCCGCAGCGCCCGAATAGATTTACATGAACGTGATGCACACGTATGCCCATATGTTACACACATTCGCCAACGTGCTCCCCCCCAGAACACTGTGTGTTTCTAGCTGTATAGGTTGTGCCATATGCGTCGAACGTTATGGGCAGTGCAAGTCATGTGATGCCAAATATGCTGAAGCAGAAGAAAAATAAAGCGGATAACGAGGATCACCGCGGGGACGTTTAGAAAGGAGGTGACGCAGGTGGGGTTGCCACACCTTGCGATGTGTGCGGCGCAAGAGGGTGTTCCACATCCTGCGATTGCAGTAGGAAGCGACTCCGAAACCAATTGTTTGGAGGATGTCGAGCGAAACTGCCGTTTCGGAATATGCGAGGACAACTTTGAACACGTCAGGTCTCAATGTTGAAGGGTTGCCTCACGCGAAGCAGCTGTTCCCCTCTAAGAGCGTCGTCCGAAACCATTGGACACCATTGTGTGCTTGACGGTTTTACGTAAACATGGTTGAGAACAAACAATGTTGTTGGACTGTGACGTCGCGATCCGCGTGAGTGGTGCGTCCAATTGACAGGTTGCGGATGTCATCAGCGAAACGGCAAAAAGAAATCTCGGACGGGACGGCTTCAATTAATCGCCTGTGATTTCTAGTCCTTCGGAAAGATCGTATTCTATTGTGTGTTGTGTGTGCGTGTGTTGTGTGTTGTGAATTATATGAGTTGCCTGTAGATCATGTGCATCCTGCTTGATGCGTGGAGTCTGTACGTTGCTCGTGTCGGGCGTGTTGTGTGTGTGATGTGCGCGTGTTGTATGTAAGTGTGTGTGTGTGTGTGCTAGTGTGCGCTATGTGTGTGTGTGTGTGTTATGAGTTGTCGGTGTTGACCGTGGTCCGTGTTGTGTGTTTGTGGTGTGTGAGTTGTGTTGTGTGTGTTCTGTGCGTATCCGCTCCATCAATATTGCGGTGTACGTCGGGGCTCGATGGTAGCAAAATGTCTCAAACAAAACTGCTGGGTTCTAAACGACGCGCCGGCCAAAAAAACACGACGCGTGGAGGATATTTTCAGCGGCATTGCAAGTCTCTAAATGACGCTTTCAAAACTATTGAATTCCAAAGCGTCCCGAAAGCGTCATGTTATACATGTTGGAAAAAAGGTGTGTCTGTGCAGTGTGACGCCGCGATATGAGTGAGGGGTGACACCGACGTTAGAATTCTGAAGATGGCCTGAGCGAAGCGGCCAGAACAAACAACCGCGACCTACATAACAAGTATATGTGAGCTTGGTTCGCCATACGTGAACCAATATCTCTCTCTCTCTCTCTCTATATATATATATACACATAGATATAGAAAGATATGTGCATACCAATGTGAATTCATATTCATATATTTATAAACTATAGATGTATATAGAAGGGCACGCGCGTGCCCAATATCATTCAACATACGTGCAATGTGTGTGCGCGTGAGGTGCGCAACTATTGTGTTATATGTGTTGTGCATCGTGTGCGTGTGTCGGATGTTGTGAGTGCGCAATGTAAATAATGTGTATGTTCAATGTATTCAATGTGTTACGTGTGATGCGTGTTTTGTGAATGTGTGTATGTGTGTCTGTTTGATGTGTGCGTCGTGTGTTGCGCGCGTTGTGTTTGAATTGTGTGCGACGTTTGTATGCTGTGTGCGCGTGTGCGTTTCGACTGGGTATGCCTTGCCGCTGTGGGCGATGCCACGAATACCAAAAACGTGTGCGTGTGTGAATGTCTGTGTGTGCATTTGTCGCGTGTGTGTGTTCAGGTGTTGTGTGTGCTGTGTGTCCTGTAGATTCGATGTGCGCGTGGTGCACGTCGGAGCTCGATCTTGGGAGGGCGTCTCTGGCGCAACTGCATTGGGACTGGGAGAATCGCGTTGAAGAAAGAGCTTGGAGGACGCCCTGGACAAAACTGCAATGCTCAAATAGTCGGGCTCAGCGCCAGTAGATTCCATTGCTGAGAACGGAACTGATTTTGGACCGTGACGTCGCGATCTGCGGGTTCGGTTCTATCGGTTCTCGGGGTGTTCAGGATGCCCCGAGCGAAACTGCCAGAAACTGTTCTTCGGCGCCCGCGGTCAAAGGCCCAGTTAGACGGGTAACAAAGTGGAGAGGCCGACCGAGACCCCATCCCTGGTTGGATGGAGGCCCTTGCCAAGCCTCCTCCACATCGCACTCTTGTGCGACTCCGCGAGTGGCTCGCACTTTTTGCCGAGCTGCACTCCATCGCGGAGGTGCGCATGTGAATATCTACATCCGCCGATCCGGCGCGTGAGTTTCTGATCGGGGCCGGAGCTCGCTCGAGCTTCGCTCTGCCGGGGGGAGCGCCATCCGCGACGCCGTGCAATGCTCGGGGGCGGGGGGGGGCGCGCCATTCCCGACGCCGTTCAGCGCTCGGGAACCGGGGCGGAGCTCGCTCTGCAGGGGCGCCGGGGGGGGGGGGGGGGGGGGGGAGGGGGGCGCCCTTCCCGACGCCATCGTTGCTCGGGGAGCTGGGGGGGGAGTTCGCTTCTGAGCTCGGGGGGGGGGGGGGGGGGGTGCGCCATTCCCGACGCCGTCTAGTTCTCGGGAGTCATGGCCTCGAACGCTCTTCAGTGGGCGGGAGAGGGGAGGGGCGCCATTTCCGACGCCGCTCAGTGCTCTGCAAAGGAGAAGGTGGGGGCGGGGGCGCCATTCGCGACGCCACTCAGCGCTCGGGGGCCGGGCGGGAGGCTCGCTCTGCAGGGGGGGGGGGGGGTGGGGGGGGGGGGGCGCCGTTCTGGCGCGATTCAACGCTCGGGAGCCACCGGGGGGCTCGCTCTGCAGAAGAGGGAGCGGGCGTTCCCGACTCCACCCAGTGCTCGGGGGCCGCGGACTTGAACTCGCGCGCTCTGCAGAGCGCCCCCGGAAGAAGGCGCGCAACAGCTATTTCGCATTTCGCGGTTTTAGTGGTGACTCGCGCGAGAGCGTCACTTTCGAAGATCCACAGCTTTCGCAACCGATTTCCACGCGTTCATCTTATGAGAACGTTTCGGGCGTAGGCTGCGTCTTCAGCGCGCGCGGTCGCCCGCCCCCATGGCATGCGGGGCGCCCCGTATCGGCGGCGCTGACCGAAGTCCACTACAATGCATCACCATCATCGGACGGCTCGGGCGCCGCGTACGATTGGCGCCTCCGCATCTGCCTGGCCCCCATCGAACGACAGGGCACAGGGCCTGGGGCCGAGCAAAAACCGCGAAGCCCCCTAGGGACAAAATCGCGAATAGACCGGCACATCAAACACACAAAAACACCAAATACGAACATCTACCCTTTCTGACTCACTGCGAAGGGTCGGTTTCTCCGGGGGGGCCCTGGGCACCAATGAAAAGTTTGGAAGCTCCGACGCCCTCGTTGCTCCTCCGCGCGCGCGATGGAGGAGGCCGCGAGCCCGCGCGCGCCGCAGTCGCCCGCCGCGGCTTCGCCCGCCGCCGCCCCCCGAGCGCCGCGGCTGGGCGAGGGGCCTGACCGAAGCGCAGGGCGGGGGGCGGGGCGCCTCCGAGGCCTGCCGCCTCAGGAGCGGACCGAGGCCGCCACGAGGAAGCCTGTCCGCCGAGCCCCCTCAGCCGCAGGCTGGCATGCATGACCGATGGCTCATCCGCTATTGCAAGGCGCCGCGCAGCCCGCAGGGACAAGCCGACCCCTGCAGCTGCACCGCCCCGGCCTGGAGCATCGCCATCTCGCGGCACATCGCGACCTCGGCATCGGAAGTCGCGATGCGCAGGCGGCAGTGGCGCTGGTCGTGCGCGTCCTTGCGTTTGGAAAAAAACTTCACCACCCCGCGACAAGACTGCTGGTCTGTAAACTTCTCGCGCATCTCCCGGGCGGGGCGCGCCAGCTCGAAGCCCTGGGCCTCGACGGAATTGGCCGGGGCCCGCGCCGCCGCCTCCGCCCGACGCACTGTGGGCGGCCCCGCCCAGTGGACCTCGGGGCTCCGTCCGCGGCGCGCGGCGCCGTGGCCCTCGCCCGCTTCCTTCGCGGCCTCGACGACTGGATGGTCACGTAGGAGCTCGATCGCAAGGTAAGTGGTCGACTCAAAATCTCGGATCTACAGGTCGCGGGCGAAGACCGGGCGGGCGAGCAGCTTCGAGGTCACCTCGAAGTCCTCCAACCGCTTCGCCGCTCGCTTGGCCGCCCCCTCCGCCGCGGGCTGCGCCGTGCCAGGCCAACCGGCTGCGCCCTCGCCCTCGGCCTCCTCCACTTTCGCCCCTGCTCCGCCCCGAGGCGCCGCTGCGCCCCCCTCGAGGCTGGAGGCCCGCCGGCCGCCGGAGCAGCCGCGCCGCCAGCTTGCCCCGGAGCGCCCGCTGGGGGAGCTCGACCGCCATGCCAGCGCAGAAGGGGCGCAGGAGATCGCGCGGGCGCAAGCTGAGGCCGTCGGCCACCGAAACGCCCCTCGAAGAAGCGGCTGCAGCGCGATGGCGACGTCGGAGACCGAGCTCCGCGCGAGAGGGCGGACCATCTCAGCCGGGGCGACCGGCGTCGGCGATTTAAGCGCTAGCCCGTGTCGACCGCAGCCTCGGGGCCAAGCGAACTGAGCACGCTGCGCGGCAGAAGCCCGGGAGGCAAGAACACTGAGACATAATCCACACTGGTGAAACAAACAGAGCGAAGCCTCCACATACCGACATCGGCGCCTCCTCCTCTTGCTCTTCCCCCCCCTCCCCTCTTCGGCTGCTTGGCTCCGCTGGGGCCCCAAGGGGCGCTGCGCGCGGTCGACTCGCCGCCGCGCCATCCGCGGCGCGGCGATCAAACAACCCAAAAAACGCATCAAACACAGCTCCGCGCGCCCCCTCACCCCGCAGCTCCTGACAAACGAAATCAAAGCCCCCGATAGCGATGAAACTAGCAGCTAGCAGGCTCGCGACCAAGGCGGAAGTCGCCGCCGCGCAAAGCCCGCCAGCGGTGCCCAACCGCAGGCGCCGCCTCGCGCGCGGGGGGGCTGAGCAGCCCGGCCTTGCACGCGCAGCACCCGCGGGTCCAGCCGTGAAACTTCGTCGCGACGGGCGCCGTGGGCGAGGGGCCCCGTCGGGCGCATCACGCACTCCGCCAGAAAATGCCCCCGCTCGGAGCCAACCAACAGCGCCCTCACGTCGTCCACAAGGCACTGGCCCATGGGGGGCGACCTAAGGCCCGGCCGCCCGCCCGCCAAAGGAATCTCTTGCAGCGCGAAAGGCAGCTGACCGAACAACGGTCCGAGGGGTGGCGCAGCATGCGGATGTAGAGGCCGAGACGCATGACCCGGGTCTCCGACTCAGCGTCGGCCATCTGCAGCATCTGGCGGATGACCTGGGTGGGCATCGCCCTGTGCTGGTAGCCCTCCTCCGCCGAATAACTGCGAGTAGAAAAAAAAAAAAAAAAAAACAATAGGTGAAAAAAAACAAAAAAATAAGAAAACGTAAAAACAGTAAAAAATCGAAAAAAAAAAAAGAAAAAAAAAGAGAAAAAAAAAAAAAAACAAATATAACAAAATAAAGAAATAAACGAAAAAAAGAAAAAAAAAAATAAAATAAAGTAATAAAAAAATAATCAATAAAAAAAAGAAAAAAAAAAGAAAAAAAAAGAAAAAAAAGAAAAAGAAAAAAAATAAAAAAAAAAAAACAAAAAAAAAATAAAATAAAAAAATATAGAAAAAAAAAAAAAAAAAAATATAAAAAAAATAAAAGAATATAAAAAAAAAATAAAAAAGAAACAATAAAAAAAAAAAAAAAAAAAAAGAAAAAGAAAAAAAAAGCCAAATAACAGCTCAAAACACGAAAAAAAAAAAAACATCACATAAAGATAAAAAACAAAACCAAACAATAAAAAAAAAGGCCCTCGCCCCCGACGCAAACCTGCCCAGTCGGATAGCATCGCGGCGGAGCGTCCGCAGCCGCGACGACGCCGGCGCCGCTGCCACCGCCCCAAAGAGTAGGGCCCCAACCACCTTAGATCGGAAGACCTGCCAGACCGTCTCCACCGAGACCTCGGACATCCAGGAGCGATCCACTTCCAAGAAACTCCGGCGGCCGCAGCGACGCGCGCCTTAAACTCCATCGCCTGGCCCCCCTGGCAGCGCATCGTCGGGCCCAGATGCCGTGCGACCACAAAACAAATTGCCTTCTTGCCGTGAAGCGCCCGCGCCTGGGCGCAAGCGCCAGGTCCGCGGAAGGCGCGCATAGCGCGCAGCTTCGCGATGTTCTGCGCGCGGCCACTCTGCTCCAGCAGGCGGCCCAACAGCGAGACAGACGCCTCGCGTTTGGCAGCGACATTGTCGCGGCACCAAGGGACGAAAAACTTGCGCAGATCGCCCGCGAACATCTTCGGGCCGAGGTCGAGCGCCATCTGGGAGACGACGGGCAGCGCCTCCAGCGCGTCGGCGCCGGGCCGCACGGAGTCCGCGACGGCCCACTGCAAGGCCACAGGAGAGAAGACCTCCAAGAAGAGCGGTGGCCCTGCCGAGTCGGCGACGAGCACCCCCTGGCCGGTCTCCATGCGCAGGATGCGCTCCGCCGCCTCGACCTCGCAGCTGTAGCCCCTGACTTTCTGCCCAACGATGCCAGCGTCCGCGTCCAGAAACATCTGGTCGAGGCCCTGCTCCATATCGTCCAGCGACGGGCGCTGCAAAACATTGCCGAGGTCCTTGGAGCTCGCGTCGCCAGTCCGCGGCGCGCAGCCCGCTCGGCCACCGCCGCCGTCGCAACGAGGGCCCCCTCGCGCGAGCGCCGGGGGGCGAAGCCGAAGTCCATGTGCGACGCCTTCTCGCGCTTCGGTCGCGCCTTCAGCATGGGCGCGCGCGCCTGGCCGACAGGGCGCATTGCGTGGATGGCGTGGCCAATGCCCGCCGCTCGCGACCGCGAGCAGGCCGGCGGCGCCGCGGGGCACGCGGGGATCAGCGCGAAGTGCTGCCGCAAGCGGGAGGTGCACGGGTGCGTGCTCGGAGGCTCGACTCGGTAACCGATGCCTTCGCCTCTGGCGACAGCGATCTGCGGCGCCAGGCGCATGCGCCATCGGCATCTTCCTCCGCGTCCGATCCTCGAATTCGGCTAGGTCGCGGTCGGCCGCCTCCTGAACCTCCACAACGGGGGGGCGCCGAAGGGGAGGGCCTTGTCGTAGCTGTTCGCGGCGCGGCCGCTGATCCAGCTCCGCGGCCGAGTTGCCGCCCTGGCGCCCCGCGCTCTTCATCGTCGGCCGCCGGACTGCAGCCGCGCGCTCCAACCTCGGCGCGTTGTAGACCCGACGCCGAACCCCAAGCGACCGCTCGCCCAGCAGGCGCGCCATCCTCCACATAGTGGCAGCATCGCCAACGCGTTCCGCCTCAGCCACGGCATCGCTCCGCATCTTGCGTGGGCGTCGCCTGTGCTGTCGCTGGAGGATGCGCAGGCGCCCCGTGGCCTCCTTCAGCTTCTCCTGACATCGGGTGAGCTGGGCGTCCGCCTGCTCGTCCTGGGCCTGGGGCTCTCTCGCGCGCCTGAGGGGATTTCTGTCCTCCCTCTCGCGATCGCCCTCAAGGGCGTGGGTGGTGCGGATAGCGGCCCGCTCCATCAGCAGGCACTTGCGAGCAGCGGTTGCCCTCTCGATGTCCTCTGTGTCGTACCGCTTGAGGCCAAAGTGTTCCAGACTCGCATGCCGCACCGCACCAGCGAGATCGCCCCACGCCTCGCCGGGTCCATCCTCCTCCTCGAACGCCCTCGGGGGGAGCAAGCTGCATTTGGACTCCAGCGTCTCGAGGAAGGCAAACATGCCTTTGTGCTGCTTCATCGCCACTATGCGCTCGTCCAAATTCCACTGCACCCGCCGGGTCTTGGACATCGGACACCATATCAGGATGCCAGGATGCACCGGTACAGCCATGACTGCGACAAGCAAGGGGGTGTGGTCACGGCGCCCGCGGGCCCTGATCACCTGGAGCCTGTCCCCGATGGAGTAGAGCGGTTTGAAGTCGGACGCGCTCGGCATGACGGCCTGCGGGATCGCGATGACGTCGCGCCTGATACGGTTGCTCTGCGGCCCCGGGAAGGTGTAGCACTCGTAAAACGTGTTCACCGTCGCCTGGCGCCAGTCCTCGCACAGCCTCCACCATGCGGTGCCAGAGTGGTGCTCCAGCGCAGCCGCCACGTCGCCAGTCGCGTCCGACGAGGGGTTGAAGACCCCAGCCTCGGACTTGACGAACCCCAAACCATCGTTCAAATCCGCGCAGACTGGCGGTGTCGTGCGGACGGGGGTTCCCATCAGACATCGGTCCGTCCAGGTGAAGATGGCATCGGTGGTGGCCTGGTGGTGCAGGAGACCACGCACGCGGAAATACAGGACAAGCGCCAGCAAGTCAAGCGTCCCGCGCCGAATCTGGGCCCCCCCAGCCGGGCCACGGATCGCAGGAGGCGGGGTGAACAGCTGCACCACCTTGAACTCTTCTTCAGCATAAAGGTCGCAAGCCTTGTTTGAGTAGGCGCCCCACCCCCCACCCCCACTGAAGAGCATCGTGATGCGGAAGGGACTGGCGAGTGACGTCCGCCCCCCGCTGCCACCTGGCGGATCTCCTCCGCCCGAAGCTTGGGCGTGAGCGTAAGCGGGTTATAGCTCACCACGCGCATGAGGCGCGCCCCCCGCAGGGGGGGGCCAGAAGTGCAGTCAGGCCAGAGGCCCCCAGCGTGCGCCAGGGCGACAAGACGAAGACATGGCGCTGCCCGCTGGCGCCTGCAGCTACGTCCCGCCGCAGCGGCGGGGCCTCGAACAAACGTGCGACGCTACCACAATACATATACTGAACAGATATACGTGTATACATATATATATATATATATATATGAATGAATAAATACATGTGCACACACATCCACATCCGACACCCATCTGTCGAAATCCCTGGGGATCGATCTCCCAAGGTTTTTGTCGATTAAGCGTAAACCCCAGCCTCGGAACCGCGCCACCCTTTTGACAGCCTCGCGACACGAGCAAAAAAGAGACGGGAGTTTGATGGTCTGAAGTTTCAGCCTCTGGGTGGCCCTCGCAGAGCCCCTGGGTCGGGTGTTGCTAGAAGTGCCCCAGGCCCAAGGTGCCCCAGGCTGTTCGTTTAATTTGGGCCCTCTTGACCTAGTGAGTGGTGCTCTGGAGGCAGTGGGTGCCTCCGTGGGAATCATGAGGGCATCTTGGACCAAAAACACTTCTGGCAACATCCGACTGGGCCGTCCAAACACGGCCTGGGAACGGATGTCAGTCCCCGAGAAGGTCCA